TTCTGGTCCTGTCTGTTTGGTGTTCTAGACGCTTCTTGTATTTGTATAGGCATATCTTTCTTTAATTTTGGAAAATTTTCTTCTATAATTCTGTTGAAGATCTGGTCCTTGCCATTATCTTGGGTAGGAGAGAGGCCTGTGGTGGGTGGTGCAGGCCCAGGGAACCAGAGAGAGTTGAGGGTGGGGCCAGACCCAGAAGCAGTGCTCCTGGGGCCCAGTGAAGGCAGGATGTTGGTCTGGATGAAAAGGATCAGGAAGCAGTATTGGTTCCCCAGGTGTCTGGGGCCCTAAGACAAGGAATGGGGCAGGGCCCAAACTCAGAGGCGAGAACGGAGGGAGAGATGGGAGGGTGAATGGGGCTCGGGAGTGAAAGCTCGGAGTCAAGGCTCGGAGGGCGCAATGGACTTACCAGGGAGAGAGGCCTGGGCGTGGCAGAGAGGCCTGCTGAGGGTGGTGCAGATGCAGGGAGGCAGCTACTCAGTATACTTTTAACATGATCCTGTGTTGCCTTCTCTTTCTTCCTGTTTACTTCTAGTCGGTGGATAGATATGACCTGTGTCAAGGAAATAACTCTTTTATTTGGAACAAAGCCCTCTGTTTGAGGATTTCTTGAGAGGTAATAGGTCTGGACCTCTTAAATCAGTCAAGCAGTGGTGAACTTAGAGCAACTTGGAACAGCAAAGGATGAAAATGAGTTTTATGAAGACCTTGATTGTAGCACTTCAGATACAATGTTGAACATTCTTTGCAGTGTGCTGCCAGTATTTTTTTTTAATATTCTCAGCAATTATTTTTATTTTGGAAAGCAATTATGTTACAAAAAATGTTATTTCTGCCAGTACTTTAATGAAATTTTGTTTTAATCTTTTTGTTATTCAAGTGTTAATAGAGGGACAACTATGTCAAATATTACCTCTGTGAAAGCAATATTACCATTTTGTATTTCCCTGATTTGTTTGACTAATCTTTCACAATAGAACACAAGCTTATATAGTTTTCCTATCTTAACATCTTATATGTGTGATATGGAGGAGGCTTTTTCTTTGTCATCTCAGACATCTCAGATAGTTAAAGGAAATTGATTATAGAGGTAATCATAATAAGTTGTTTTTACTGCTTGAGAGTCAATATTTTGCCCTGAAAATACATAGTTCTGCGTTTGTATTAATAGTTGTGAACATCACAGGCACATGTGTAGGCTAAATTAGTTTCTTCCTGTCTTGGATAAATTAAATTTAAATTTCTCTTTCTGTAAAGAATTATGATTAATTTTTATTTTATCATATTTTGATCTTCAAATTTTTATTTGAAAAGGAAAATATTTTTGTTTGAAATTAATTTTTCTAGGTAAAACATTAAAGAATGTGCAATAAATGTACCACAGTTATATAGTAAGTGCCATCTGGCTGAGACATTTGCTTTTCTCATAACTCTTGGTATTTGAAATTAGATTCAAACAGTTGGTAAAGATAGAATCCAGTCAGATGTATGTGGTGGTGCATACCTATATCCCCAGTACGTGGGAGACAGAGGTAAGAGGATTGTGAATTCGTGTCTAGCTTGCGCTACATAGGAACAACTTGTCAAAAAGAAAAAAAAGAAAGAAAGGAAAGAGGAAGGAAGGAAGGAAGGAAGGAAGGAAGAATAACCCTCTGTACTTCAACGGGAGTGTAAAATGCGAAGACTTACCATGTAGCCAGCAGTTTTGCTTCTAATATATTCAAAGGAAATGAAAACATATGTTCACACCAAAACTTGGTACATGATATTTATAGAAGCCTTAGGCACAACAGCTACAAAATAGGAATAATTCAAATATCTGTCGACAGATGTATAATAAATGTGGTATATCCATAATTGAATAGTCTTTGGCAAAAAAAGGAGTGAAGTGCTGGTGCATGCTGCAGCACTGATGAAACTTGAAAGTACCGGAAGTGAAAGAAGCAGTCACGGAAGACGATGTGTGATGCCAGAACGGGCAGTCTGCCCTCTGTGGAGACAGATGGGGTCATTGGGGAGAGATGGGAGAATTACTACTTGATGGTGTGTTTCTTTGGGAGGGTGACAAAATTTTTTTTTTATTATTTTTATTTTATGTGTATGTGTGTATTGCCTGCATGTAGGTAAGTGCACCCGTGTTGTGCAGCACGCCCGTGGAAGACAAAAGAGGCTGTCGGATCCCCTGGAACTGGAGTTATAGATGGTTGTTAGCTGCCATGTGGGTGCTGGGATTCGAACCCAGGTCTTCTGCAAGAACAGCCAGTGTTCTTAACCACTTAGTTATCTGTCCAGCCCCGATAAAAACGTTTTAAAATTAATTGTGAAGATGTTTGCACAACTCTGTGAATCTATTAAAACCAATGTATCGTACAGTTTAAATGGATTAATTACGTCAAAACTGTTACCAAAAAATTCAAATAGCTTTCCGACATTAGTTGCCTCTCATTTTGCAGTGAGGAGCATGCTAGGATGTACAAGATCAATTCTGTTTTGATTGGTTTATTAGTAGGCAGTACTGATTTTTTTGGCTAAATATACTTATCAGTGACTATCATTTTTCTCTTAGTTTCTAGTGCCAAACTAAAAAGAAAAAAGAATTGGTTTGGAACAGCAATATATACAGAAGTCATTATAGATGGAGAAATTAAAAAAACACCCAAATCTAGTAGTTCTTCTAATCCAAAGTGGGATGAACAGCTTACTGTGTAAGTATCTCAAAGGGTATAAAATCTTCCAATATAAGCTGTGCTTAGGGTTTTCATTTTGTAGAATGACTTCAAGTAATGAAGTTTTTCTTTCTTTAGCCAATATAGAATTTAAAGTATGAAGAAACCTTTTAATTCCGTTTTCTTAAAGAGGAAGCATAATAATTTGTGCTTTGTTTCATAGATGAAATTATTTCTATATAGCTCAGTTTTCTCTGAATGTTTTGGTACAGAAATAAAACCAGTCATCATTAAGTTTGGCATTTGGAAATAAAGTGGCATAAATTTTCATGTAGAAAAAGTATTATAACTAGTGCCAGGCATCTAAAAACAAAACTATAGAAATTGGTTCAAATAGGAGCAATTACTGGGAGGTCTCAAAAAGGCTCTCAAATGTGTTAATGTTTTAGTTTGCTAACTACAAAAATACTGAGTTAGACATTAAAAATATAACATATTTGGAAGTCTTTATTTTTATTTGTGATCCAATCAGTTTATGATTTTATGCAATATTAAATAAACTGAATTTATGTTTAGAAAAATTATTGAAATAAAGAAGTTAGCACATAGAGTAGTGATGTGTATTTCTCTATTTTTGTTATAATTTTACTCTTGCAGAAATGTGACCCCACAGACCACTCTGGAATTTCGAGTTTGGAGTCATCACACTTTAAAAGCAGATGCTTTGTTAGGAAGAACAGCAGTAGACCTGAAACAAGCTCTGTTAACACACAATAGAAAATGTAAGTTGTTTTCTGACCTTTTGTCTCTTTGTGAGTGTATTTTACTTTTAAAAGATTGTAAAGTTCAAAAGTGAAATACGTTGTTTATAAAGAAGAAACTAATTATTGCCAGTGATTGCTTTTAAGATTGTATCATACCAGAAAAAGTAATATTGACTCAGGCTTTCTCGAATTCAAAAGGGTCATCCACCAGTACCCTGCTGCCAGCTATCACCCTCATTTGTTATTTGCTTAGTGTGCACTTTAACGCTCAAGCCAGGCATGGCGATCTATTCTCTAATTCCAAGATTCAGTAGGTTGAGGCAGAGCTATGATGGTCTGAACAGCCTAGTATAAATAGCATGATTGTGTTTCACCCCCCCACCAACAAAACAAAGAAAAACATTTTTTATTGAATTTTTGTGTATTTCATACATAAAATCATCTTTATACCCCCTTCCCTTTTGGTACCCTCCCATAGCCCCCCCCCCCACTAGAGTTCATACATTTGTGTCATTTGTGTTAAGGCCTATTATATAAAGTTAGTGTCTTGAGATGTCCCTCAGTACAACTTTATCCACCAGGGTTTAGTCAGCCTATCAAGAGTCTCTCCCTTCAAGATCAGCTCTTCCTCACCAGCAGTAATCCGCTGCCAATAATTCTTCGACTAAGATTGGGGCTTGCTGTTCATTTCCACAGTTCTGTGCTGGGTTTTTGTTTGCCTGAGTTGGCATGGATCTTGTGCATGCTGACACCATTGCTGTAGGTTTGTATGAGAAAGGTCCCAGGTGGTCTGTAGGACAACCATTTCCGTATGGTCATGCACTGCCTCCCTGGCTTTTAACAATCTTTCCACCCCTCTTTTGCAGTGGTCCCGAGCCCTGGGTGGGTGGACCTCTATATAGGAGTCCTATCCAAGGACCTATACTCTACTGACTCTTATTCTCTGCATTTTGGCTATTTGTGGCCTTTTGTGATCCTGGCCCCCTGTTGCATGAGAATTGAAAAATGCATTAGTGTTCTCTTTATCCCTTATGTTCCGTGAGTCTCAGGTGTAGAGGTTGCATCCTAGATGTGCCATTTAGGTTTGGGCAATTCACAGAATCTGTGTGTGTGTAACTCTGTAATAATCTTTGTTGAAAAAGAAGCTACTTTGATGGGTGGTGAATGGGATACTTGTCTATAAATTTAAGGATTCCTATTTTGTACATAGTAAGAAATTACATTTGTCTAGGGATAGAGCCTTGGGGTTTTTGCTAAGATCTATGACCTTTCCAGTTTTGTGTATTTGGCTAGGTTTACAGTACCATGTATGAGTTTCCTCCCATTGAGTGGGCTTTAAGTCAGATTAGGTAGCTGTTGATTATCCCCAAGATAAAAGTGCCACTATTGCACTGTCATTTGCTGTGCTGGTCATTGATGTAGTTTTTAGGCCTTGAAGCTAGGGTTGGACCATTGATTGATGTTCTCCCTTACCCACTTGCTCTCCAAAGCTATGAGAGCTAGCCTTCAGGGGAAGTGGCTTCCAGGTCAGTTCCAGCTCCATTGCTCCAAATCCTGTGTCCAAAGTATGTCCTGTCTTCAGCAGTAGGGTCTTACCATCAAGCTCTGGGAGACAATCAAGGACTGTGACAATAGCCTGTGTAATTTTGGGAGTCTCTTGGACTACCGTGGCCAAAAACTCAACAGGAAGGTTTCTTCTGTCTGGCACTTTTTCTTGTTATATAGTCTTCAGTTATCCCTACATGAGTCTGTGAGCAAAACATTTTTTATCTGATTGGTTTCTGTTTGCTTTGGTTTTTAGTGTTAGGGAATCAAACTCAGGTCCTTCGTGCGTGCTAGGCAGGTACCCTGCCTCTGTACTATGTCCCTGGCCCCAGGGCATATTCTTGTTTTTCTTGACAATGACAATTTGATTTGGAGTAAATAAATTCTAACTTTATCTTTTCAACAGATAAGCAGGTCATTGTAGATAATATGGAGAAATATAAAAATTTAGCCTCCTGTTCTTATCATTCGTTGCTCTGAAGAGGTAACCCTAAACTGCCTGCTATAGAATAGGGGTGATGACAAATCTGGCTTCCAGAAGGAACTTTTTAAAAAAAAAGCTTACTGTTTTTAAGAACTAGTATTTTTAATTCTTAATGTAATAAGCCAGTCTTTAGGATTTTTTTTCCATAGTGCTGGAGATTGAGGCCAGAGCCTTTTAGATAGCTGTCTTATCCCAGTGTCTTCATACTGTTCTCCCTCAGGTGCATATGTCTGTCAGTACATTTTCTCCTATAACAGATCCAGTCGTTTCAATTAAAGCCCACCCCAATGACAGTATTTTAACTTAGTTACCTCTTTAAGGATCCTATCTCCAAATGCAGTGGCACTTTGAGGATTTATGATCTCAGCATATTAATGGGGGTGGGGTATAACTCAGCCCACAACAAAAGGTAAATCAATTAAGTTCAAGAATCAGATCTTGTGATAAAATCAAGTAACATAATATAGTAGAATCCTAATGGTAGAGGAGACCTAGGTACATTAATATTAGTCATTCATTGTATGCTGAAAGTAACTTCATCTAACCAGCTTGCTACAAAGGCCATAAGTAATTGGAAGATTGTGACAGGAGTACATGTTTTCTGATTTGTAGGGATTGAATTGTATAGGCTATCAAACTCCAGGGTTATTCTTAGTTGGTGAGTTTTGTTAGAGACAACAGATGTGGTGAGGGGTGTTCCCCTTCCCTGTGCACTTCAATGCCTGAGTCAGCCCTCCTTCCACCTATATTTTTTAGCTTGTCAGTTTCTGACTTTCTTGTTTTTACAAGTGCCTCCCAGGGCTCTCTCTCACTTGGGGGCTGCAACAGATTAAATTCAGGCTCCTTGTCACTGTCACGTGGTTAGTACTCATTCTCAGGCCCCAGGTTAGCTCATTTTCAAACAGTGGGTTGCCAGTTAGGATACCCCTACCCCCAAATGATAAAGAAATGGGATTCCTGTTTGCTGCTGACCTCATTTATTGGAGAAGTCACTGTTTCACCAAACCTACAGTGGGTCTTCTGGCTTGTGCAGGATGTGGTTTTGACCTGAGAGTAAGACTTTCACCTGAGTTTACCTTTCAGGGGAGTTTACTGCAAGGTCCTCTACCCCCACTCTACCCCCAAGGGAGCTGTCTCGCTGGAGCTGTGTTCTGCTCGGCTTCTTTTCTGTGCATCACTTATCTTTTCTCCACACTTTTCAGGTGTCCTGTCAATACCTTTGTTATTTTGTAAAGCTCTTTCTGTCTTTGTCTCTTTGGGATTGAGTCTGGTTTTTCTTATTCTGACCTGTCTTCACTGGGTTGCTTGGAAGCAGCTTTTTAAATTAATTGTACTTTTTTTTTTTTTTGATGCTTTGACCTAAGACTTTTCAATATTCAGTGTTTATTAAATTTAAGGGAAAAACAAAGAATATATGTTTTTAGGAGGGTTGTTGAAGCACCAGCCTCTGCATAGAAAGGAAGCTCTGGCCTCAGCTTAAGGAAAGCTCCAGCTCTGCATGTGTCTGCAGAGCCATTGTGAGATGAGTCCTTCCTTACTGCTTTGAGCTCATACCAAACAGCGAGAAGCCAGATAAGAAGTGTGGACTGTGGTGCTGAGGTGGATTAATAAGGATATTGGAGATTTGGCCTTTACTTTCCAGGACGATGTTCTGCAGGTCCACTTGGGGATGATATGTTTCATGTGGCAAGTCACAATTATGGCACCCAATGACAGTTCATATCAAGAGAATGTACTCTCTTTGGTGATTCATTTTCCTTTGCCCTAACCTTTCAAATCATCTAAGGATGAATTTTGGACAAGAGCAATTTATCATCCAAATTTTTAAAAAATATTTTATTTATTTTTATTTTATGTGTATGAGTGTACTGCCTGCATGTGAGTGCACCCGTGTCGTGCAATGCCGCAGAGGTCAGAAGAGGGCTTCAGATTCCCCTGGAACTGGAGTTAAGGATGATTTGCAGCTGCCATGTGGGTACTGGGAGTTGAACTCCGGTCCTCTGTAAGAACAGTCAGTGCTCTTAACCTTTGAGCCATCTCTCCAGCCCCAGTTATCATCTAGATTTTAATGGCATCATTTGTTTAATATTTTAAAATCACAGTGGTCTCCTGTGTTAACTCTTTTTAATATTCTTTTACCCATTTTTTTACTTCTATGTGATCCATGACCTAGTGCCAAAGTCTGCAAGGATCTATAAAACAGGCAGAAATAAAAACAACAGACTTATTCGGGAATGAATTCAGAAGTATGCCAGGTGATACTATACCTTGAAGTCAGAGTAACCAGCATCATTGCTGGAATAAATTTTAAATTTGCTTTAAAAGAAAAAAGTATGTAATTCCTGACCACTTCCATAATAAGAATCTAGAAGTGTCCAGTGTCAAAATAGAGGCTGCTTGTTTCTCTCTAGTTCGTGAGGCTAAGTTCTTCTTTGCTAAATGCCTTGGCATCACCGTCCTTCCTGGTTGGTTGGTGTCTATCTGTCTGTCTGTCTGTCTGTCTGTCTATCTGTTTATGTATCTATGTATCTATCATGTAATCTGTTTACTTATTTATTTGAGACAGGGTTCTCTCTGTAGCTCAGGTTGGCCTGGAACTCAGTACTAATGCTTTCATCTCTCATGTGCTAGGATTACAGGTATGCACCACTGTACCCTGCTGTCCCTTCTGATGTATTTGAAGTAAATATCAGGAAATAATTTCAAACCCACATGGTGGCTCACAACTGCTAGTTATAACTCCAGTTCTAGGGGATTCAGTGCCTTCTTCAAACTTTTATTTTATTTTTGAATATTTTCTTCTTTCATCTTCATAGTATAGTATGAGTTGTTATAGCTAACCACAATCGTAAGTAGAACTTACAATTAACGCAGTATAAATTATCTATACTTACCTCCCCACAAGAAAAAAGTCTCAAACCTAGTTTACAAAAATCTAGTTTACTTGACTCTATAAAGATGTATTTTTTAAAACATTTTTTAACCATCA